CCCGAACAAAATAAATCGTTCCCTCTCACCTCTGTGCATTAAGTGCCATTCTGATAGGGGGACGTACTTCCACTATTTTTAGGACTGTAATCTCCAGATTCTGGACATTTATCTCCAAGGTAATTCAAGGCATGTGTCCTTTTCCTTTTGGGCCTTCCCTCCAGGGAATTACATCTCCCTGTATCACCCTACAAACTCCTTGAGAAACTAATTTGAATTGCTCGAAAGTGCATCCTGCATTATTGAATCAAAGACTCCCTGCCAAATGCTACTCTTTGGTACAGAGCTATTTATAACACTCATGAAAGATTACAGGCTGTCTGAAAAAGAAAAGAAGAGCTATTTTTGAAGGTCTGGTCACTCTTAAAGTTATTTTTATTTTTTTGGCCTTTTATTGCCTTTATTGATAGTGACAGCCAAAGATAGACAGGAAAGGTGGGTAGAGAGAGTGGGGATGACATGCAGCAAAGGGCCACAGGTCGGATTCGGAACCGGGCCGCTGCAGCAACTCCGTACATGGGTCGCCAGCTCTACCGACTGAGCTAACCGGGAGCCCTCAAATAATGCATTCTGTTCATTCATATTCTGTTCCTGTTCAGATAATAAAGGGTGGCATAGGAAGAGAGACACACCTCCCTCTCATCATTCTCCACAGAAAGCAGAGTTGAGGGGTTGCAGCCGTTAATGAATCTAACAAATTTGGTTAAACAATTAGGTTGAGTAAAAACAGCTATTGGACAAGTTGCAAAGGCAAGAGATTTGATATAAAGTATCCCTACACAGGAAGGTCTCAGTTCCCGAAGAGCTGCTCCCCTCTGGCCGTTTCAGAGCATCGGCAGTACAAAACAAGCTCAAGCACAAAATCAGGTGACCTTAGCCACTGGTGCTTGTGTGTCAGCTACTGTATGTGTGTGTATGCAGGTCTTTGCACAGTGGGTAGTCATTATTACACTGTGTTTCTGTGCTGGTACATTTAGCACAGATGATTCTGATTCGGGCACTGCGTGTGACAGAAGGACAAACATACAGACTACAAGTGACTGAACCACTTTCTCCCCATCCTGATCTCTGTCCTGCTCTCGGTCTTCTCCCTCCTTCTCTGCCCTCTTTCTCTCCATTTGTCCCTCCCTCCCTCATTTAATAGGATCCTTGGTGTGTGTGGGGAGGTAGAGCTGTGTAGAGGTCAATAGCTCCCATCTGTCACAGAGGAAGCTGTGTGGTCTATGACAAACTGCCTGTCCTGCTCTCCTTAACAGCATTCACTCTCTCCAGAGACCATCTCCAGCCCAACTCTCAGCCTCCACACTAAATAAACTGCTATAACTAAATGCTGATGGTGAGCCAGTGTGACAAGAGAATATCCAGTCATTTGATTGTAGTCTGAATATTTATTATGAACAGATCATATCTGACAACCAACTGACAGCACTGTCATTAGGCAACATGTTTACTGCACTGTTACACCAAAACTTCCCACTAGGGTTGTGCCGATCGTGATGGCTGACCGACATCACGATGGAGAGCCACCATCGTGATGCTACATAAGGTGACAAACATCGCCGGTAAAACGGAGGATTAATGTTCCGTTAGTTAGACTAATTTACATGCAGCGCGCATTGAGAGCCCGGCGTTTGTGTACTAATGGATGTGTTCGCCAGTTTGTGCACGAATGTTCGGAATTCTCCGAGCTCCAAGTCCGAATTTTAATCAAGAAACGCCCGCACGTGAAGTCAGATTCTCCACTCAGAAAGTTCGGAGCTAATCTCACGCAGACAGACATTAAGAATTGCATGCTAGTGCTGCTATTCCGTAAACAGTCGAGTCCAACATCGTTTTCCGTTGTACGTTTGTGAGGCTGGGAAGGGCGATGGACCTCAACCTTTTGGGGTTAGCGTTGTCTCCGAGCTCCGAAGTTCGCGACTTTCAGTGTAAAGTTGAACACCACCATAACAAGCACGAGCTTCACTCCCCCAGGGTCCTAAACCGAGGGAAGCTGTAGCGGTGCGGCCTGTTGCCCTGTTTGGCGGTTGATCATACCCATCGTCTACTATAGAGCAGAGCGGGTGGCTAGTCAAAATAAAAAGTGCTTACCCCCCCATGACGATTATCACTTCGTCCATCGGCGATGTTTTACTGTACATCGTCAAACTGCCAATCTTAGTGGACATCGCCCAACGCTGGTGGCGTCATGATATCATATGGCAGCCCCATCACGCAACCAAACTGTGTGCACTGTTTTTGTCTTGACACCTTTCTATCAGAAACTAGGTATTACATGTTTTCAGCAGTTTGAGCTACAGTAGCGCTCGTCTGTTGGATCGACCACACTGGCCAGCTACACTCCCACACGTGCATCCACTGCCTTGGCCATCCAGACCCTCGTCTCTGGTTTACTCTTTTCCTTCTTGGAGCAACTTTTGATAGGTAGCTGACCCTCTGCAGACCTGGAACACCGCCAAAGAGCTTCAGTTTTTGGGATGCCTCTGACCTAAGGGATGCAGCTTATTCGAATATTTTTGGTAATCGAGTATTTCTAAATCGAATATTCCCCTCGATTAAATCGAGTAATTTCGGAAAATAACAATTTGCGCTTAATTTAAAGCATTCTAATATAAAATACAAAAGAGACGATCATTAAATATAACACCAATTGTTTCCTTTTAGAAAAAAACTTAACGTTTATTAATTATACAATATGCAACAGTTTAGTAAAACCGTTTTTCAGTCCAAAATCAATTAAAAATAAATAAATTAACTCAACTTAAACAATTAAAACATTATCCATGCCTTGTTTATGTAACCCGTACGACCAAACCGGTCCTGCGGGTTTACCCCCGGGTTTCGGGTCAGGTTTCGGTCAAGAAAATTTTTACTTTAAATTGCCGGGGCGGTTTCATTAAAGGATTATCTGTCCATTACAGCCTACTTCTGTTGGGTAATCCCACCTGCGACCTGACGGTGACAAGCAGTTAGAAATGCCATGGCCTTTCAATTGAAAAATACCCCTAATGTTGGTTTACATTCTTAAGATTCTATTAAAAATGTGCTATTAAGAACCTTCAGAAAACAGTTTGTGAGCCTGTTTTTAAGGTGGAAAAACGCTCCTGTTTTTTTTAGCCTATTTGTTGGGTTTTTAATATGTTTCTTTTTTTTTGTTCTATCTTTTTTTTGATTGCAAAAATTAATAACTAGCACAAAACTGCCAAGCTAATTTATTTTATTTTTATGATTTTATCTTGTTATTGTTATTTTGTTATACCGCTATATATATTTATTTTTTTTCAGAATTTGAAATTCTTGCTCTGTTTGCAGTTCTTTCCCGTTCTGCCCACTCGAGGCTGTTTTTAACCACATTTTTGGTCAGACAAATAAGGAACATATTTGTACCTTCTGTTATGTTATAGGGGCGGGGCACGGTTGTTTTGGGGAAGACAACAAAAATATGATTGGGGAAGCGGGTCAAATTATTTAAGTACAGTATGCCGGGACACACCCCACGGGGTTTGGAAAACCCACACACCCGTGGCTCCTTGGGAATCCAAACAGTTAGGGAAACCCGCTTCCCCGTTCTTCCCCGCCTGTGGGGAAAATAAGCCTGTGACCCCGTAAACCACGTGTGTCCACACTTAAGGGAATCCGTTGGCCCCCGAAAACGTTGAAAGCCCCTTGAAAATTGTTAATTTGTAAAACGAGGGCCTCTTCCGAGGCAAGAAGGGAACACTGCTTCAATCATTTTGTTAATTCGACGGTTTTTACCCCTTGAACGAAATCCGTTGCCCAGCCCCTTCCTTTTAAAACCCAAAGTTCGTCCTTAGCCATCCACATGGTGACCCTTTGTTTTCAAGTTCCTCCAAAAACATTTCTCCACGGCCTGCCATTCCTGCCCTTCTTTAAAACACAAATCCACTTTGAAGGGAACCGTTTTTCTTGCCCTTGGCAAATTATATCCCCTTGCATGCCACATGATAAACCAAGATAATCAGTTGGTTTATTCCTGTCAGTTTGGCTTGTACATTGGTTACTGGCTGTGGAATCGGTGTGTAGATTCGTCTGGGTACAATGGTTTCATCTACCCCACTTTCCATTTGCTAGAAAATTGCCCTGATCCCTATACCTTTGTGAATAAGGCATGGTGGGATCGCCATCAAAGGGTTCAAAAGTTATAAAATTTTTTTTATTAATTAATGCTATTTAGCCCTGTGCGGGGGAAGTTTTGTTTCAAAGTGTCTTTTTTGTTAAAGTTAGAATAAGCGAAATATCTACACAGTTAAAGACGGAACATTAGATGTACTACTGTAACTTCCAAAACCAAGAAAAGAGCCGGG